CAAATATTTATTTCATGAGAAATTATTATTAATTAATATAAATTCTTTAGTTTAGCAGCCAGTTCTACAGGGGCACTGGCCCCTGTTGTCAACTGCCTATAACCGCCCCTGCTTATGAATAAAGGGAAATGATTATGTGTAGAAAAGCGAGAAATTCTGAAGCCCACATTTACCTCTTCAATTTTTACAACAACAACTGCACAGGTCACTTATATAAAGAATTAATCTTCAAAGTGTCAACACATGTCAGAACCTGATTAGAAATGATACGCTCTACCTAAATACTTCCATAACTTTACTTGATAAATATCTCTAGAGAGGAAAATAAAAGGCAGGCTGGGATCATCATGGAGCCACTGTTCTCTAACATTCTTCCTAACATTCTTCCCAACAATCAAGTGAGAATTTACCATGTTTGTAGTGTGTCTTATTGATTCTCAAGTGCCGTAACCTGATTGTAGTTTTATAAGGGCCAGCAGAAACATCCATGGTGCCCTAAGCTGTACTAAATATTGGGGGCCTCTATTCTGACAGTGATATCTCTTGCTTTAATCAATAGTACAATGATAAGATCATTCACACACCTGCTATAAACTTATTGCAGGTGTTTAGGGTCTCCTATTTGGTATTTATTGCCTGGTATTAAAATAAACAAGTATGCAGTTTATCTAAAGTAAAAGTGTTTTTGGATTATATATGTTGGCTCCAACACCAATATGTAAACAGCCTGTAGCACAAAAACAACAGCAACAAATTAAAATATCTTGGATAAGTAAAAGCCAGTTGTATGGGCTTTTTTTGGGGCCTCTTTCCCCCTCTCTCATACCCCTTTCCTGTCGGCCAACTGTCGAAAAAAACAAGACACTAGTGCCATAAAACTCAAAAAAGTTTGCCTCTGAGAAGGTTACACTGGTCGTTCCACATCTGTGTGTCAATCTGGGCCCTATTTTTTTTTATAAAGAATAAAAAAATCTAAAATTTATCATGAATTTGTGTGTTTTTTTTGTTAACATATTTGTATAGAAAT